CTACGGACACAATCTTTATTCTATGTACAACAGTTTCTCAGGAAATGAGAATGGACTTTGCGTTTAAATGTCGCAACAGTTTTAGAAAGGACCACCACCTGAGGGAGTCCGTGTCACACGCCAACGACCCAGGTTATTTCTTACTGTTGAGTGTGGGTAGTTTGGGCAGTGTATACCTTACGGTCGGCGGAATCCTGACGGAGTTGGGATTTTAACTTGTCAACGGCTATCATGTTTCATTCGTTTGATGAGTGGCTTTTCGCGCCATTTGCGGAACGCGTCCTGCCGATGAGTCCAAGCTATCTAACTCACGTTGCATGTGTTGACTAATACTATAATCTTTGCGGGCGATTTCGCTGCTCCTCTGCTGCTACGGCTCACGCTTCGTGCTTTTGTCCTCCCAAGCCCTCACATATTTGCTTGCCTATCCTCTTCACTGTAATATTACTATACGGTGACGTCCTCTACTGTCTGTCGTTTAAATACTTCTTTGCCGCGGGCACTGTCGAAAATCGTAAGTAATGCATTTCACAACATCAAGTCAAAAAGACAGATTTGCAGAAACCATATATTCCAAAGCTTCGCCCTCATCCTCCTCACCCACAACTACCGGTTAGGGTTTGCTAATAGCATGACATCAAGCGGATCATGTGTCTGTGAGTCCCATGTGCAAGGTCTTCCAATCTCGCACCGTAATATACGGTTTGCGTAGTGAGAGCAAGGCCATACAGTCGGATACGTTGTTGTGACACGAAACAGCTTTTGTTTTACACAGTTAAATATGCTGTGAAATTATCATGACACAACTTTAAATAAGACACTAAGTAAGCACGCGTTTTTAACTGCAAACGACTCTGTCCTTCTTTACTAGTCTACTACTTCTTATTCCGCAAGGTGATTATTTTGGTTGAAGCCCAGTGCAAGAATTTGTATATTTGCGACCCCACTTACTCGATCGTGGTTATATTCGGAAATTATCCCAGAAACCCTATCTAGTTAAATAAAGGTGATAAGATTTGAGCATGAGCACTTCGTCAGAGGTCACCAACTGGCGTAACTGAACGAAATAAGGTGTCTAGGCAAATATTATTATGCCAGTTTACAGCCAATTTTAAAGAGTTGGTAATGC